TAATAAATAAATAAATAAAATATTTCAATGTAATTTGTTTTTATTACAATGAAAAATTGATGCAAAGATTTTTCTCTGAGTTTTTGGTAGAATGAAACCAAAATTAAAACCATGAAAATAATTTTTGTTGTTTCCTTTGTATGAATGGAGTAAATCTGGCACAGGTAATTTAACTGGCTGTTAAAAAGACTTCCAAAATTCCTTAAATTGATAACACTTAGCAAAGTATAACAGTCATAACAGAATACCCTCCTTGTAAACACGTGTCAGGTCTTTTTCCTTTTTGTTTTAACATGTCTATTAATTTTTATTTTTTTCAGCTTGATTCTAATGTGATTTTTATTTCTTTAACTGAATGCATTCTATTTTTTTAATGTCCACTCTTCTAATGTCTACATTTTATTATGTTGTTAGAAAAAATACCTGGAATTATTTATTCCAGATAGTTTTGAATATCTATAATTCCTCTGAAAGCTTTCAAAATAAAATAATGGAAGAGAAACTCAGAGACACTTAAGAAAGGTGTTCACCTGAGGCAACCATGCGATGATCTTCACTGCCCTTGGGCTTGCCAGTGGTTCGGATAGCAAAGATCCGTCCATCACTGGTCCTGATGTATGTTCCTGAAGGAGAAATGGGTAATAATAGTTAAGCTGAGCTTCCCAATTTTGGGGGGGAGGTGGGTTGATATATTGGAAGTATTAATTATGCTTGCAGCTTGCGCTGTGCATTGTAACATGCTAGCTTCCCATTATATTTTCTTATTCAAAGAATATGTAAAAACAATAAAATATATTGGGGTGCAGAGTCTAGCAGCAACCAAGAAAGGTATTGTCAGTTATATAATGATTGCCAGGGAAAAACATCTACCTAACAGACCAAGCCCCCTTTTCTTCAACAATAAGGTAAATCATCTCCATCGTTCTCTAGTGTCAAGATACTGTAGATGCTCTGGTAGCAAAGACATGAAAGCAACACTTCACAACCATCAATTCTCAGACATAATATCACCCTATCACTTTTGTGGAATGCAACTAAAAGACCAATGTTCAAGACTACAAACGTTTAATATCGGATGCAATTCTTCTCTCATGGGTGGTAATTTGTATGTCTGGAATGCTTAGCATTACACCACAAGAAGCCATGAGATGAAAGGATGTTCATACTAATTACAGACAGAAAGGCTGGGATCAGTGGCTACAGCTCCCATATATATACATAAATATTAATGATATATCTTAAAAGGTTGTTGATAGGGCGAGTGAGATAAAAATCTTAAAAGTTCTCCATAGATCAGAGCTGCTGCAATTAATACCATGTACCATAACAACTGACTTGATTCTTTTTTCAAACTTTTAGCCACCCATAGTCATCACAGTGATATGGGCAGCCATATAAATAAAATAAAATAAATAGATTTTGTGTTTGATTCCAATGTCTCCTATATCTAGGTTTTTTTAATTGCATATGGTCTGTATCAACCTAGACCTTTAGAAGAATGTGGGTATGTCTAATTTTATCACTAGCAGGCTATAAGCATTCAAGAAATATAAAAGAAGAAATATATCGAATGAACTGTTGAAGGAACTTTTTTTTCATTTTAGGTTGTCTCAGAATTAATATTCACATATTTTTCATACATGCATCATATTCCCCTAATAAGCTTATTGGTTTTAAAAAGAAGCTACATGTGTGGAGCTACAAAATACGTTCAACAATAGAAACTCATTCACTAATAACTTCAGTGTAATGTACAAAATACAGGTAGACCTCGCTTAACAACTGCCCTGTTTAGTGACCATTCAAAGTTATGATGGCACTGAAAAAGTAGCTTTATGACCAGTCCTCGCATTTATGATGGTCGCAGCGTCCTGTGGTCACGTGATCACCATTTGCGTGTTTCGCAACCGGCTTCTGACAAGCAGAGTTAATGGAGAAGCCAACAGTAAAATTGCAAGTCGTGGTCACGTGATGTCTCACTTAACAGCCTGCAGAGACTCGCTTAACAACCAAATGGGAAGTGACGTCGTAAGTCTGTCACAGTCACATGTTTCACTTAGCGACTGCATCACTTAGCGACGAAGTTTCCGGTCCCAATTGTGTTCGCTAAGCAAGGACTACCTGTAAGAGGAGGGAGAAAGAAAGGTTCTTTATGGAGCAGTAGAATAACTAAGCCTATGAACAGTCTACAATCAACCCCCTTGTTGCTCAAAGAACTCTAGGCTTGTAAGTGACTGCAAGTTCAAATTCTATATTTTTGAAAGGCCAATGACATTTAAAGAAAAGAGGATAAAAATAGTGGCCTGCATAATAAGCAACATCAGATATCTGTCTAAGTTAGTACTGAGAAGGTGAAAGCAGACTACTAAAATAAGGAAGATTTGTGGCAAAAAATGAAATGTACCCTGTCACTTGCAGATCACAGAACAACAATGTGCAGAAACTCTTACTTGGAAAGGACAAAACCTCCTCCAACCATCCTGATAAATTTAATTCTGTTTTCAAAATGTCTATCAAACTGTGAGATGGATAATTATCTTGTTTAATATCAAACTAAGCTGTCATAATGTTTCATATTAAAACAGGTCAATAATGAACAAATGTATGATCAAAAATGAATAATGAATGTGGTCAATCTGAACTAAGGAAAAATGAATCAAAATACGTTAATGTGTGGCAGAAAACCATGTGGATCTTCTTTATTGTATGGAGATTTTTCCCAAAGGCACTTCACTTTCTGAACAAGGGATGAAAACTTATCATAGAAGAAAAAGGAAAAACAAACAATATTGGTAACACTTCTCTAATAATACAATTTCCTTTTGCTTTCTATTTATTTCTAAAAATGAAGTCCCACCTCCTCCATTTTGCAAGCTTAAATCTGTAATGGAAAGTTATCTTAATTACCTTTAGTCCCACGGATAATGTGTATGCTTTCACCAGCGCTGATTCTTGCCTGCACATCCGTGGAAGTGTTCGTACCTGGAATCACTATATCTAAAATGGATAAAATAACAGGTACATAAATCATTGCATGTTGTTTCAAAGTGGATTGAATTTAAAAAATTGAAATAAAATAACATCTAAGCATTTAGCTGCTTAGAATATTATATAAAATATAATATTATATAAAATGGTATATATTTTATATATTACAAACATATAAATATTATAGAATATTATATAAAACACAGAACCAGTGTTTATTTGTATGCTTTAAAAACTATAACTGGAGAGAAAAAGCTAGTAAAAAACTATATTAATAGCAATGCTCTGCATGATGAGCTAACAAAGGAGGCAGCTGCAGCAGCAACATTTCAACCAGTCTCCCTCTTTTCAAGTACTGTTTGTGTTTTTGTAAGATGAAAACAGAAGACCTGGTACAAAAATGAAGACGCTTCTAACACAGTTAGTAGCTGGGTAGAAGGTAGAACTTTCATTAGGCACATCACTTCTGTATGACCAAAAGTGTTTGCCAAAATTCTCTCTTCCACACTATTATTAAGGGAAAAATATTCTCTGTTCACTCTAGAACAAATATCAGAAAGATAAGCATGCAGAATTTAAGTAATGGCAAATAAGTCTTGTTTTAGACTTATGTTAAAAGTGAGTCCTGAGCCCTAGAAATCTGTTGCTGTCCTATATAAAACATAGCAACAAAAGGTTAACATGGATAAGTTTGTTATCAGAGAACTAACCTTAAAGTACTCATGAAAAATTTTACTTCCCTATTCACTTTTGGTGCAACCTCATTTCCTAAGGAAGTTAGACTATGATTTTTTCTCTTTCCTAATGCAGCCAAAGCAACTAACCTGTTGTGGTGACAATCTTCTGCACAAGAACACCAGCTCGCTGCAGGTAATTGATGGGGAAGTTAATAGCAGGATTGGAAACTGAAGCTGCTCCCATACTGCCTAAGGGGACATGGCGAGGCATCATCGGAATAGGGGTGGACTGAACGGGACGCACACTTGCCACTGGCCTGTCCTCACCTTTGAGGCTTGGTCGCCTACGAAACAAAGCAGTCAACAGGATTACAGAATTTGAAAGGACCCAACGGCCTCTTTTCACAAGCAGGATCTTCCACTCCAGAATCCTATCACTGAATTTTAACATTGGGAGGGATCCTGGAAGTTATCTAATCCAACTGCTTGCCCAATGCAGAAACTACAGTGCAGCGTGCAACTGCAGCACTCATGACAGATGGTCATCCTGTTTCTGCTTAAATAACTCTTCCTGGGTCTTCCACAAGAAGAGAATAGGTACGCTACAAAGAGGTGCTTATGAGTATGCTCCAGATTATAAAATTATGCTGAGGTGCCATATTAATTTCTCCATATGCAATCACATAAGGAAGATCTTTAGAAACTTTCTCCCACAATATGTCAAGAAATCAATAACAACAAATTTAAAAAGCATTCCTAAAATCCTAGGTGGGAAGTGCAGATTACTAAGTCTCTGTGCTGTGGCCTATATGTGCTATCAGCACTTTAAAAGTTTATTTCCCCATCTCAGTAAATTTCCACTCAATGCATTCTAAATATCTATTCCCTGGTTTGACTAAATTTTTTGTATCATCTTCAGTTCACAGCTACCAAGATGACAATACCTTCCTTTGTTTCACCTATCTTCTGAGGGCCAGGAAAACACTACCGAGCAGGGAGAAGTAGGAGATAAAGGTTTGCTACTCCTCTTTAGCTTCGTGGAAAGGAACAAGAACCCACCAGTTCCTTTGACTGAAGGCAGGAATACTTGTCAGATTCTGGTCAGTGGCTGGGTAATACTGAGCATAGGAAGGACGGGTATAAGGGACAGATGCACGTTTCTCTTCCTCATAGCTCTTTTTTGCAGCTTTTTTCTCTGCCTTGGTGAGCTTGTGCTCTTTACGATCGATTAGCAGTGACTCATGCTGGAAAGGCTCCTGTGGTGATTAGAGCATAGGGAGGTTGCATCTGAAGCACATTGGTTTACTGAAGGAGGTACAGCAGGAGGTAAACAACAATTCCCCCCCTCCCTTGAAAATCACATTAATCCTCCAAATGTTCTAATGAAACAATTAGGACCATTTTGATGTTATTTTATATCACTGGTATTTAATCCTCTTTGATAATATCAGAAGCATTATGTTGCTCTTTTCTTTAAAAAACTCTCAGAAATATGCATTTAGATTTATGCCATCAACAAATGCTTAAAGTAGGAATGGGAAGGAACCTTCTCCTGTACAACAAAGCATCTTGACAGGAAAGATTGCTAGGAATGCTTCAGATGAAATGCTATTCTGTTTATTCATTTATTCATTTAACATACAGGTAGCCCTCGACTTACGACAGGAATTGGGACTGGAATTTCCATCGCTAAACGATGCAGTCATAAACTGCGACCACATCACTTAGCAACAGCAATCCCTGCAGTCCCGGTTGTTGTCATTAACAGAATCCCACTGTCGTTAGGTGAGGCAAGTTCCTGCTGGCTTCCCACAACCAAAGTCAGTGGGGAAGCCGGCAGGGAGATGCAAGTCCCAGGCTGGCAGGCAGGTACATGGCTGCTGGTGGATGGGGGAGGGAGCAAGAGGATGCAGGGGAGGGTCGGGGGAGGGTGCATGAGAGGGTGTGAGGGGGTGTGGTGTGAGTCGGGGAAGGTGCACAAGGGTGTGACAGAGTGCATGAGAGGTGTGGTGTGGGTTGAGGAAGAGGCGCGAGAGGCGCAGGTTGGGGAGGGTGTGCAAGAGGTGTGGCATGGAGAGGGTCAGGGAGGGTCTGCGGGGTATGCGAGGGTGCATGGGGTGCACAAGAGGCACAGTGCAGGCCAGGGAAAGTACATGAAGGTGTGAGGGGGTGTGTGAGGCATGGGTTGGGGAAGGTGTGCAAGGGGGAGTGCGAGGCAATGCAAGGTTGGGGAAGGTCTATGAGAGTGCACGATGGTGTGTGAGAGGTTGGAGAGGGTGCATGAGGGTGCAAGGGCGTGTGCAAGGCACAGCGCAGGGAAGGTGCATGAGTGGGCGCACAAGGCACAGTGTGGTTGGGAAATGTGTACAAGGGTACACAAGAATGCAAAGGGGTGTGCAAGAGGCCCAACGTGGGTTGGGTGCAAGAGAGGCGCAGCCCAGGTTGAAGAGGGTGCACAAGGGTGCAAGGATATGTGTGAGAGGCGTGGTGTGGGTTGGGGAGGGCACATGGGGGTGTGCGAGGCACAGGTTGGGGAAGGTGCACAAAGGGGTACATGAGGTGTGGGTGTGGGTTGGGTAAGGTGTGTGAGGGTGCACGAGAAGGATGGTGTGGGTTGGCTTAGGGAAAGTGCAGGAGGGAATGGTCATAAGTCAAGGATTACCTCTATTTCTATGGCCACCCATCTAACTTGTGGAACTCTTGGAAGCAAACAAGATTTTAAAAAATACGTAATCCAGGTCAATTAAAAAAAAAAGTCAAAGCCCCTATAAAAAATCTCATTGTCACACACATTAACATCCACAAATGCCTGACCTTCATTAATATACTGGCCCCGGTGCCTTGGGGGAAAAGCTAATATACTGGCCCCGGTGCCTTGGAGGAAAACCTAATGCAGGGGTCCCCAAACTCTTCAGATCATTGAACCCTTCATGAAGTTTCAGATTGTTCACTGATCCCCAAACATTTATTATATGAAAATAATTTAATAAATACTACTTTAATATTACTACAAATAACAACAACAACAATGGATTGTCCCATAGACCCTTGGGGGTTGATACTGACCACTTTGGGGAACCATGATCTAGAACCACTTGCCATTTTTATTTTCTAGATATATAATCAAGCAGTAAAGATTGCAAAAAAGCTAGAGGTCAGTCTTATGCTAGACTACATCCATTATTAAAGAACTAGATTTTTACCTGCACAACGGTACTTTCTATCTCCCCCCACCCCCACCCCCCACTTCTCTCCAAATCTAGTCTGGAGAATCCTCCAACTCTTTGGACCAAATGTGGTTGTCATAATGTGAGATAAAACTAAATAATTTGTTGCATTGGGGAAGTGGCATTTATTAATGGAATGACACTGTTGAATCCCACCTATGATGAAATATGTAAGCAATATATTAACCCTGGACTTTCCTGGACATAAACAAGCCCCTCATTATATCCAATTTTCTAAATACATTGCATCTGACAATCAGAAGCATTTTATAAGACAATAAGTGACAGACATCAGGTAATTTGAGGAGACAAATTTTCTTGAACTTAATTTACTACTGATGTAGTTTCTTGCAGGCACCACACATTCTTAATGTACTTTATTAGATGTAATTTTGACAGCCAACTTGTAAAATAGCATGGACATGGCATGTTTTTTTCTCTCCTTCCTAACCTTGGTGATGAGGTGAGGGTACTTGAGACAGGCCAGCTGTAAAACAGATTCCTTGATCTTACTGGGGCTAAATGAAAGCTGGGCAGGCTCAGGTTCCTCTTCCACAAAGTGCAGCAAGTTTTCCACCTCCCTCCTGGTAAAGTTCAACACTGGATTCAAGTCATCCACAACACGATCTAAAGAAAATATACATTGATCACCAAAGAGGAAGAACTGCTGTTCCTGCTTCATCTGTACCTCTAATAACATTCCCTGAACCTATGATATTAGCAAATTATTGCACCTTTAGAAGGGGTGGGTGGGTGGAGGGGAGAGAGCTAGAAATCTCACACCAAACCTGAAAGCAAAGGGAGCCAATTTCAGAGACCAAAAGATATCTGCCTAAGGCATGGCAAGATCTACCTGACATCCCTTGCTTGGAGATCTGACGGTCATAAATTTTCTTTTCCAAAGTGAAATCAGAAACGAGTCGGTAGATGTGGCAAGGCTTCTTCTGTCCGTAACGATATACCCGACATACTGCCTGTGCATCATGGCATGGATTCCAAGAAGCATCAAATACTACCACTCTGTTTGCACCAATAAGGTTCACACCTAAACACCCAGCTCTGGAAAAAACAATTGAATAGTTATTTGCCAGAGATTGAAATGTTGCCTGGTGTACTGCATTTGTAAATCAAATGTGATTGGGAGATTACTGCTTTTGCTCAAAGCCTTGTATAAATTAATATGATGTTAGAATTTGAAGATAATAGATATGGAAAGACCAGCTAAGTCCACATGGGATTCTACACACTCTTTAAATGAAGTAGATTCCATCCTTTTACAGGATGAACACTATCCACTATCCTTCATAGTCAATTACGTGTCTTATCCTTAGCAGGTACTCGACTTACCTTGTGGAAAGAAGGAAGAGACAAACAGAAGTGTTGCTAGGATCATTGAACTGGTTAATCAATCGTTCTCTCTCTGAGGCAGAGGTACTTCCATCCAGTCCTATGTGATGAGAATTGGATCATTACAGAATTTTCTGCATAACCTCTATCAAAATAAAACTATGTACACTATTAAAAGTATGATTGTTTGAGAAGATTCATTTAAATACTAAACTATCAGCTACAGTGGTACCTCAGTTCACGAACTTAATTCGTTC